TATATGTTTCACCGCTAGATGTCCTCAGTCTTCCAGGGTAAATGATACCCAGCATCATTTTACCCAGAGGACTGAGAACAGGGGGCCATGGACCCACCCTCTGACAGTGCACCGGATTGATGCCCTGCACACACATACAGTGATTCAGAGAGTGGGGCTGAGGTCAGTCCCTGAGTCCCTTGTGCTGCTGCACAAATGATACTTTAACCGCCAGAGGTTCAGTTTCTTATAAATGACCATTTCTGGACGAACCTCTTTTAGTGTTGTGCTGCCATGGTACCATTTACTGTGTAATATGTGCTTTTTGTAAACAAAACTAAATGGAAATGGTCTACTGATTCGCTGTCATGGTTTCTGTTGTCTTCAGTTTCTCCATTTACAAAAATAAATGTTTTACCAAACATTGTGTGTGTATCGTTTACAAACATTGTGCGTGTATGGTGTACAAACATTGTGCGTGTATGGTTTACAAACATTGTGTGTGTATGGTGTACAAACATTGTGCGTGTATAGTGTACAGACATTGTGCGTGTATGGTGTACAGACATTGTGCGTGTATGGTTTACCAACATTCTGTGTGTATGGTTTACCAAACATTGTGCGTGTATGGTGTACAAATATTGTGCGTGTAGGGTTTACAAACATTGTGTGTGTATGGTTTACAAATATTGTGCGTGTAGGGTTTACAGACATTGTGTGTGTATGGTTTACAGACATTGTACGTACATGGTTTACAAATATTGTGTGTGTATGGTTTACAAATATTGTGTGTGTATGATTTACAAACATATACCAATACATGCACTGCACAACAGACCTCAGACCAGCACCAATACATGCATTGCACAACAGACCTCAGATCATCACCAATACATGCATTGCACAACAGACCTCAGACCAGCACCAATACATGCATTGCACAACAGACCTCAGACCAGCACCAATACATGCATTGCACAAAGACCTCAGATCAGCACCAATACATGCATTGCACAACAGACCTCAGACCAGCACCAATACATGCATTGCACAACAGACCTCAGATCATCACCAATACATGCATTGCACAACAGACCTCAAACCAGCACCAATACATGCATTGCACAACAGACCTCAGACCAGCACCAATACATGCATTGCACAACAGACCTCAGACCAGCACCAATACATGCATTGCACAACAGACCTCAGATCATCACCAATACATGCATTGCACAACAGACCTCAGACCAGCACCAATACATGCATTGCACAACAGACCTCAGACCAGCACCAATACATGCATTGCACAAAGACCTCAGATCAGCACCAATACATGCATTGCACAACAGACCTCAGACCAGCACCAATACATGCATTAGGTTTACAAATATTGTGTGTGTATGATTTACAAACATATACCAATACATGCACTGCACAACAGACCTCAGACCAGCACCAATACATGCA